CTCACATATGTAGAGGCTATTAAGTTTCTCCTCAGTCTTAGCCTTTTCTTCCTATCCATTTTCCCCTCTGATCCTGAATATCCACTTCGCTAAAAAGAAAATCTGGGATTCAGACACTAAAGTTTTTGAATTTTCCCTACTATGACCAGAAGAAGATTTGAATAGATAAAGGCTATGACTGTAAGGTTTCCTTGGGTAATTAAAATCACACCTTGTTCAAATTGGTTGGGCTGATGGAAATACAGGGAAGAATACCGGCAGCCTTATGCAAGCATGTACTATTTCCACAGCCCTAAAACTGTCCTAGGAGAACCTGATATGAAGAAGGACATAGTGGTTGTGCTTTTTTTAACACATGAACTGAATACTTTGTCCTTATGCAAACTTAGGGCTATCGGTTTTCCTATTCCTTGGCTGGCTAGAACATCAGAGAATTAAATCAGAGGCATCTGAAAAATTGTCTGATGGAATATGTTTTGTTTGTTGCAGTCTTATCAACAGATTTGCTGAAATTCTTGTTAATTTCTCTCAGTCTTCTCTAGAGGCTAGTTTTTCTAGAGACTCATATTGTTGGTGACAACTCGGGAAACCTACTCGAACTGACTACAGCCATTCGACTTGCAAAGAAACCTTTTCAATATTTTTAAAACTAAAAACCAGGAAAGCCAAAAACATTTGTCAGAATCCTATAGATACTAGGTTGAACCATTTGAAATGGCTGATAGTCAATTATTTTTGACCTACAAAAATAGCATCCTCATAGGTTTGACCTATTTTTAAAAGATGCCTTCAAGAATTAAGAGCTCTCTCTTTCTCTTCCCTTCCAAATTCCCATTATACTCATTATCACACATTATAGATTTTTCTTGGTTACATTTTACCCAGATGATCTTTTTCCATTTAGCTTTCAATTATTTCTAAATTTTCTATATGAGCATTTTTAAATCTAAAATAACCTTTTCTGACTATAATATTTTCCTTAGTAAAATCTTTCAATCTTATTCCAAATTCCTGCCCAGAAAAGAAAGCCATCGAATAAATACTACTGAGCCTCAACCACGTACCTAGCTCTGTGCACAGAATTGGGAAAAGAGGAAGAAAGGCAAAAATGGAGAGGATAAGAAATAAAGGATAGGAGGTCCCCAAACTAGAGATCAAAGATCTAGCTTTAGCTGTTCCATTTTCAGCAACCATAGATAACTCTTTTAATCTTCCCAAAGCCACTTGATACTCATTCAGTGTCCAACTGCACAGGGTGGAAAGCTCTGGCCCTTTGAACATTTGTGCACAACTCCCTCATTGTTATGATGGGCTTAAGTTTGCCCTGTCTTCTAAAATAATCCCTTGAATTCTGACCTAGAGAAGTTTGAAAGCTTTATTTAGCTTTTCATCAGTAGGAAACCCTGAAGCAAATGTTTTATTCAGTTGATCAAACCATAGACTGGAAATTGAGGAGAACTCTTTAATTCTAATTATTCTTTTCAAAAAGCTTGCTGTGTAACATTCAGCAAGTTTATCTTACCTGCTCAGTGATTCAGTTTTATGATCTGTAACAAAATTAAGGATTTGGGTGATTTTTTTTTTTTTTTTTTGTGAGGAGGACCAGCCCTGAGCTAACATCCAATGCCAATCCTCCCCTTTTTTTTTGCTGAGGAAGACTGGCCCTGGGCTAACATCCATGCCCATCTTCCTCTACTTTATATGGGACGCCGCCACAGCATGGCTTAACAAGCGGTGCGTCGGTGCGCACCCGGGATCCGAACCGGCGAACCCTGGGCCGCCGCAGCGGAACGTGCGCACTTAACCGCTTGCGCCACCAGGCTGGCCCCAGGATTTGGGTGATTAATGATAGGAAAAGAAGACTTATAAAGCAGTGTGCAAGTATAATATCAGTTTATAAATATGAGCACTATCAAGTCCTAGCACTTAAGCCATCTAAACTGGCAATGATGGGGATATTCAATGAATAAAGTGACTGAAGTTACATATACATCAGTGATTCCCAGGCTTCGTTTTGATAATCCTTCAGGATTTCTCAGATATATTACATTGTATTATGACAGTCTGAAAACAGAATTATTTAATGCTAATTCACTTTAACAAACATGTGTGACTTTTATAAAAATGGTAGGCTAGCAGTAAAAAAAAATTAGGTTATTATAACTTCACAGTTAGAGAAATAGGAGATCTATAAGACCAAAGGAATTTTACCACTTTGACATGAGAATACAATCTTATAACAAAAGGAAAAAAAAAAAACCTCACTATTTAAACACTTGGTGTGGCTATTTACTTAACTAGCAAATCAGACTTTAGTTGAGAATTAATATAAACAACCCTGAAGCTCTGAAATGTAAGGAGGGGAAATGTGCATCATCAACATTCAATACAGAGCATCTTGAATATGTACAGTGGAAAATATCCATTCATTCAACTGACAGTGAGTATCACCTATAACCAGGCTTTGTGTTAGTGGATATAAATGCTACATTGGTGAGTAATAAGACATTTTTTCTTCAGTATATTTACAATCTAGAGATTACTAACCAAGTCCCCAAAGCCTGCAAAAATTAAAACTCTAGCTCCACTCAGAGGAGACACATTTCCACTTAGCTTACAAGTTCTTTTAATGATCCTTGAGAATATTTGAACAGCAACACGTCAGAGAACAGACTAAGGTTGCCTCATTTGGATTACTGGAGAACGTTTATTACGATAGTGGTAAAATATTCACTGAGGCCAGTTTTCCCACATTAAATAATATAAGCTAGCACCTGCAGCTTTATTCATAATGAATGAATTTATTCATAAATGAATAAAGTAGGTGAAATCTGAACAAAGCACTGCGAAAAGTGTGAGCTGTCTACAGATCTAACAATAGAAGACTCCCTAAATACCACCCCTGCCCTCTATCAAAATCAACAGGGGAACTCCAGGAGGAGAAGAACATCCTAGAAGAAAATTTAGGATTGAAACTTGAAATAAGGATTAAACCAAACTCTTCAACTGCTATTCAAATTTGCTTTTTTTCAAACCCCCTTTTTTTCAGTTTACATTTCTTTCTCCTTCCTCCTCTAATCATCCCTTTCTTTCTCTAAAAATCACTTTAGCAATGTTGAAGAAACTGTCATTACTGTAGAAGCTATTTCTTACATAGTGCCATACTTGGATTTTCTAGAATATGAAATTAATAGGAATTGGAAATTAATAGGAAAGCCAGAGACTATGTAAAATGTAGACTTTATTCAAAGCAATAGAATATTCACTAAATACCACTGGTTATGCTGGTAAATGTTTAACAATCAGCTCTGGAGGAAGGAGCCATGATTAGTGGTATCGACCAATTTCCCTGGTGTAGATACACTTACCACCACCAATTTCAAACTATTAACATGAGATCACAGGGAGCAGAGAAAAGATGCTAAAAATCAGCTCTCTTGAGCCCACATGAGTCAGCTCTAGCACACCGCTGCTTAATATCCACTCATAAATCAAACATTAAATTCAATTGTAAGATTGGAAGAGCTCTCAAGCTGCCAGTAACTCTACTTACTCTCACTTCTTTAGGGACTATCTTCAAGGAAGGACATCCTCCTTATGTCTAATCTGAACTATTCCTCTCGCCACTTAATTTTCATTTGCCAATAAAAAAGAAGCTAGTAATCATTATTATAAAATCCTTCTTGACTATTATTAGTGCAATTGGTGTTTTTAATAACACTAATAGTATTAAGTGGTAAATTCAACCTATCTAAAGGTGACTGACAAAATGAGGCCAATTCTATTTCAGATACCACATCTTTAAGATCTTTTTTTTCAATATTTTTTCTTTTTAAAGCTATCAACAACCCTCAGTTGGCCAACCTGTAAATGCTAAGCCATCCCAACCTGTAAATACTAAGCCCACACCAAGGACTCCTGACCATGAAATCCAAGGATCAAAAGAAGCTCTGATTCAAGATTTGGAGAGAAAGCTAAAATGCAAAGATAGCCTTCTTCATAACGGAAATCAAGTGAGCAAGGTTTCTACTTTGTACAAAAAGCCAATTAAACTATAAAATCTAATCTCATAAAAAAAGTTCTTTCTGTTTCACAATCAGTAAGGGATAGGATTATCTAAAAAGAGGGGAATATTTGGGTCCTATTCCATTATTTCTCTGCATGAAATCACCTCTTGCTTTTCAGTAGTAAAAGAATGAAGCAAATGAAAAATCAATCTGAATGATTTAATGAAAATTTTCTGTTTTAAGCATTACCCTCTTGTAAAATATGCCTGATGACCAAATAACTAATAGGAAATACTGTCAACCTGACTTCTTCGTGTACTTTGGTATATATTATTGATGGATAAATAGCCATAATTCTTATTATGTAATTCTTACTGTGCACATTGTATTAGTCACTTATCTTTGAAACAGTACTATATGCTTTTAATCCAAATTTAACATACCAGTTGCACTGCTTTCAACCAGAAGTTAGTAAGTCAAATATTCACTGTTCATTTAATAAAAATTATTTCTGAATATGAGGACATGCAGTACTATATTCGAAGACAGAGCCAATGGGAACTTACAGAATAAGGAGGAAATGAAAAACTTTCCTTTACTCCTTGGAAAGAACCTTATTTAAGGGTGATTATGCCTGCCTTTCCTAGGAGCAAAAAGAAAACAGAAATGAATATTACAGATGAGAGAAGTGGCACTAGAATGTAAGGAAAATGCTGTAAATGAAATAAAATGCTTTTTCAAAACAGAGTATCTATTTACAATTCAATAGACAGAACTATACATCTTTGGTATAATTCTTGGTGGTTTTAAGGTAAAGCTATACAAACAACTCCTATTAAATCTCATTACAATCTCCTTAATGACTTCTTTCTTTAAAGCGGTTAACATATGAGGAGAAGATGGCTCGTAGATTGCTAGGACCACAGAATGCAGCTGCTGTGTTTCAAGCTCAAAATGACAGTGAGGCACAAAATTCACCACAGGTAAATTAAAATAATCTTTATCTAACTGGAGCACTTTTTAAATGATTTTTAAATGTCTGCTTTTCTAAATGCTTATAAACAGCATTTGAAGCAAAAGTCAATCACTTCCATGCTCCGTCGGCCATGATGAACCACAATATATATATATAATTTTAAATTTTACCCCATTTTCTGATGGTTCTAATATCTGCATATGAAATGTTACAAAGTCAAAACACCAGAAGGTTAATGGTGTCACTTTTCAACTGGACAATTAGGGGGTCACTTAGACCTAGGACTCTTTCTACAATGCCTACATGGACAGAGAATTTATAAGTTGTAAATCTTTAACAAGACAGAAGTTAAAACTAAACCAAAATAATTACAATCTTTTTTCACAAGCTGTTTATCATTTCAATGTTTTAAAATATACTCGTGGTACTAATGAGCCATCCAATTTCTTTTGTCATGTTCTTGTATTCAAAAATGCTTCTTAATAAAAACAAAACAAAACAAGCAAACAACAACAACAAAACCCTCATGAGTAATGGCTCCGAGACTAACAAAAGCATCCTTTCCACAGGGATTAACTTTATGGAGGGTAAAAAGTAAAGATCCCACAGGCTTGTGCCAGACCAACTTCATTTTAAAAAGTAAACCTAACCCTGAAGAGAAATGTACAGTTGGAGAGGCAGATTGAACTGTTATTGCTCTTTCTGTCTTCCTTCCATAGTTACTTCTCATTCCCTCCCACAAAGTCCACAAGAAACTGAGAGCCAAAGGGAGAAAACTGGGCACTCAAGAATTCCAAGCTTCTAAGTATAGAAAGCTGAAAACAAGATTTTTGTTTCGGTTAAATGCGACTAGACCTACTAAGGGATGGAGCAGGGTCTAACAGAGCAAGTAACTAGAAACTGAAAACAGAAATTAAATCTCTTTTTGGCAACTGCACAGTTCACACATTCATTCGTTCAACTAATTTATATGGAGCACCTACTGTGTGCTGGGCTCTGGACTTGGTACAGGAGATTACAGCAAGAATAGGCCACAAATCTATTTTTATTAGTAGAAATAACTCAAAACAACGTTATATTGATGATGGTTTATCTTATAAATTCACAGTATATGATTTCGAGGGCAAGGATGTATTGTTTTTCTCATTCATTCTTTAAAAACTTTAAAATGAAGGTCACGGTACCAGGAAAAGAGATAGCAGCAAAACATATCATTATGAAATCAGAAAAAAAAAATCTTACATTTTTTTGTATACTTCAAATATTCTACTTAAATAATACAAAATGTCATCAAACTATGTATAATGGAAATATCATATCTGTGAATATGAATATATATACGAATATATATATACGAATCATATATATATTCATATATACATATATATATATGAAACCACTATAGGAAAAAGTCAAAAACTTCATTTGGGTATTTTGAGTTTAACTGGATTATTTTTATTTTTTACCAAAAAGTTAGTTGATTTGTTTGGTCACTGAATTGTTTTGACATTTTGCTTAGAGAACCCTAAAGCTAGCCAAAAATTGTTACAGAGTTGTAGAATTTTGTTTTAAAATGACAAAATACATTAAATATATTCATTCCAAAATAAAGTATTTGTACTGATTTGCTGTGTTGCTATACACATGTTTTTCAGATATGTGGGGTAGTGACTATATTTTCCACTCCTTTGTATCTTCCACTAAGCCAAGCACAGTGAAATACACAAAATAGGCACTAAATATTTCATCAATTAATTCTATGATAATTTTAATCAATTCCTGATTTTATTCTCAAATAGAAATAATTTTCTGGTGCTTAGATATAACTCCTAAAAGATGTTTGCTTAAATTAAATATACTCTTATTAAGCAGGAAGTAATTAATGTTGTTTTTCAAAGCCTTTTCCTGGTGTGCATCAGGATTTTGTGCCACGAGCTAAAAAGAGAAGTATTTTCCCGTCTAACATGTGTTTACTGCTGTTGGTGCCACTTTTGAGCAGTAGGCATAATACCCTCTATCTACTGCCAACACAAGTGACTTCATGTCTATTCCTGTTTTACTAAAGGACAATCTGTACTATGTGCTCCCATTTCAAATACACAAGGGGGACACCTCATCCTTTGTTGTAAAATAGTCACCTGAAAAATGAACCACCATCAATCCAAAGTCTACTTAATTTTCATAAATCATACCTGTTGAATAGTCTTATTAATTCTGGGGATTTCTTGCTGGAGTATTAGAAGGTTAGTGCACTATATTTTAAGTTCTTAAAAGCTAAATATACAGAACTAACCATGACTGTACAAATACAGACAACATAGAAATGTTCTTTTCAACTACAACTACTTAAGTCTGCTTCATTTCAAGCTAACAATTGCATGTTAACATTATCATTTTGTTTTAAATTCAAGCAGCACAATTCAGAACATGCACGACTGCAAGGTCCTACGTCACAAGTGAGGTAAACATTTTTTAATTTTAAAGACATATATTTTGCTACCTAGAATGTTTTCAGCTTAAAAGTGTACTATTTCTAAAGCCCTCAAGCCTCCCACATACCTTTTATAAAAAACAATGTGAATTTTCTAATGTCCGAGACGATGATTAAAATTTTTATCTGCTAATTATCAGAACTATCTCAGAGGAAGTTTTTAAAATGTTTTGGTCAAATAAGCCAGGACCATGTTTCCATGTTAAACAACTTTCTCATGACAATCGAAACCCAATTCCAACTATACAATCTTTGCACATGATAAGAATCGTCCATGGGGTACTCTGCATTTTAATCAGTTTCTTCACCAATTCATTGCACTGTAAAAAGGAAACAAAGATGTATAATTTGTGCCAGATGTTTCTAAATTGCTACCATTTCTAATATTTCAAATATACCACAACTAAACATAGCCTCTCTGCATTGTTACTCCATTATCAGATCAAACAGACTCTGGGGCTTCAAATTTGATGGCTAAATCTATATCTGTGTGAAAGGAAGAGCAATGACAATTTTTCTGCATTGTGATTATTAAAATTGTTTTGTAGAAGCAGATCATCTTCAAGAGGAGGTGTGAATGATGAGGACGCGATCCAGGAGAAATTTTACCCGCCTCGTTTCATTCACGTGCCAGAAAACATGTCAATTGAAGAAGGAAGATTCTGCAGAATGGACTTCAAAGTAAGAGAAGAGTTCAAAAATATTGGAGGAAAATTAACAACGGGAATACTAAGTTTTGAAAAATGTCGTCTTCCTCTTCATAGCTTGCTGCACAGCTTGAGAAGCAGTATGTATAGGGGATAAGAACATAAATTCTGGAGCCAAGCTTACTGGATTTGAATCCTGGCTCTGCCACTTTCCAGCTGTGTAGCCTCAGACAAGTCACTTATCCTGTGCCTTTGTTACATCTGTAAAATGGGAATAACAAATGTACCTACCTCATAAAGTTGTTTGAGGATTAACTGAGTAATTACGTATAAGGTACTCACAATAGTGCCTACTACCTAACACATACTCTATAAGTGAAGCTATTATAATAGGATTTCTAAAGTAGAATGCCTCTTTAATTCTTCTCCAATAAGAAATTCAAGCAACCCTGCTTTCTCTTGCCCTAGAAGAGTGCTTCAGGCTAGAATAACTTTTTAGAAAGGCCTACATTTTTATTACCATCATTTTGGAGAACTTTTTCTTATAAAATGTTTTCCCAGATTCCTTATGAATGAAAGTCAGTGTATGGATTTAATAGCTAAGGCTTATATAAAAACACTTAAACTGCCATTTATACCCCAGAACTACAGCTCAAGAACACTGTTTCGGAAAGGTTATTCATTAGATCAGCAAGCCTCACATATATGTGCCTCTGGAACTTCATCTGCAGTCACCATTAGCCAGAAGAGCCATATGACTTCCATATTCCTTGTGGAGACCAATATAACATAAATCAATGTTCTAAATATTAATTATATATAAAAATATTAATTATATAAGTAATTAACAGACCTTAAAGAGCCTGAGGTTGCATATGAAAGAGCTAGATGTGGTTTGAGATAGTCTGAAAATATTATATTAATTTCAAGGGTTTTAATTTCAGGGGTTTATTTAATTTCGAGGGTTTTAGTAAAAAGTATTGAAAGCAAATATCTTTTTTAAGCTCTTGCTTTGCATTTTCAATCACAAACACACTCACATACAGGAATTGTTAAAATTCATAAATGGACAAATGGGTTCCAGTGATGCTATTATTTAAAATTCTGGGGCCGGCCCGGTGGCTTAGCGGTTAAGTGCACGTGCTCCGCTGCTGGCGGCCCGGGTTCGGATCCCGGGCGTGCACCGATGCACCGCTTCTCCGGCCATGCTGAGGCCGCGTCCCACATACAGCAACTAGAAGGATGTGCAGCTATGACATACAACTATCTGCTGGGGCTTTGGGGGAAAAAATAAATAAATAAAATCTTTAAAATTCTGTCATCTCCTTGTGTTTCCATTTCTAGGTGAGCGGACTGCCAGCTCCTGATGTGTCATGGTATCTAAACGGAAGACCAGTTCAATCAGATGATTTTCACAAAATGATAGTGTCTGAGAAGGGTTTTCATTCACTCATCTTTGAAGTGGTCAGAGCTTCAGATGCAGGAGCTTATGCATGTGTTGCCAAGAATAGAGCAGGAGAAGCCACCTTTACTGTGCAGCTGGATGTCCTGGGTAAGCATTCAAAGAGATCCTGGGGAGTTCCTTAAAATCATGCATTAATAAAGAAAGTGTTAAAAAAGAAAACCCCAGAGGACTTCATATTTAAGGTTAACGTCTACACTATACAACCCACTAGAACGCCAATTTTTATCAAAAAGCCATGGTGGGAGGTGGGGGGACGGTGTTGTTGAGGGAAACTCAGTGAAACTAGAATGACAGATCTACCATCAAAGCTTTTCTGGAAAGGGAATAAAGAAATGGTACAATTTCAGACAGACCAAATAAGGCAGTATAAGCATTTCTAGATGTAACTAAAGCGTCTTAAAATGAACAATTCTAATCATTTTCTCTGGTCTACAGTCTAAAATAATCAACCTGACTCATATTTTTACAGAATTGTCATAATCATGCATTGTTTAAAACTGAAGAGTAAACGTCAACTTTTAGCCTTACACTTTGTTCTCTTTACTAGGAAACTAGTCTCTAATTATGACAACAAAAATATGCCTACTTGCTTTAGAAAACAGGTATGGCAAAACTCAGGTCTCAAATTTGTCTCTAGTAAGGCGGTTCTCATAAAACTCATGTCCTGTTTTAAAAATACTACAATTTAACTGCATTAAATACATCACATTTGCAATGGTTTAAGCCACGGTATATTGCATAAGAAATACTGTGCTATAATTCACTGTTTATTATATAAAAGCTTGATCAAGTTAAAGGATGGACAATTTTCTTGAGTTTGTATTCTACCCAGATCAATGAAAAATCTTTAAGATTATTCTACGATATAATAAAGGGCCTCAGTCTAAGGGAAAAACTAGTGATCTGGAAATTAAAAAAAAAAAATTCAAGTGATTAAGCTTTGGGCAAATCCTTTTTGTGCCATTAGCTCCAGAAATACTATAATGTTAGAGCTGAAAGAGACATTGGCAGGCATCTGTCCAATCTCCTCATTTCTCCTTCAGAAAAGCTAGGGTTATAGTATTACAGTATCATTTCCCCTTTTCCCTCAGGTATTTGAAGAAAAATAAAGACATAATAATTACTGACATTTATATATTATTTTAAGTTTACAAAGTACTTCTTCATTCATTATCTCTATTGATCCTCACAATAATTTTGTGTGGTAGGCAAAGCAGTAACTATTGCTTGCGTATTATTTTACAATAGGTAAAACTGAGCCTCAGAGAAACTAAATAAATTTTTTCCCATTTGGCATGGCTGATGGGGCAAATAGAGAATTTGAAACCAAGTTGTCTGGTACTCTTTCCACCACTCATGCTGCCTCCCTATAGATGAGATGACAAATGAGAATATGACTTAAATTCTTTGAATAAAATATGATTATAAATTCAATGCATCATTACATTACTGTTTTAGAACTCTAAATGGTATAATAATACAATAATATTGTATATTATTTTAACTAAAGCTAAAATATAAAGCTTCCAATCCTGTTGTTAGTACTTTTAAAAACTTTTATATCAACATACAAATTTCATAGTACTTTGGTTTGACTTAATCTTTTTTATAATATTTCAAATACTTGAATTTTTTTATTAATATGTAGCAAAAGAACATAGAAGAGCACCAATGTTTATCTACAAACCACAGAGCAAAAAAGTTTTTGAGGGAGACTCAGTGAAGCTAGAATGCCAAATCTCAGCTATACCTCCACCAAAGCTTTTCTGGAAAAGAAATAATGAAATGGTACATTTCAACACTGATCGAATAAGGTAGGATAAGTATTTCTAGATTTAACCATAGTTTACTTGGGTGAATCCAGTTATACTTTGAAATGCATTATAAATGGCATGCATTTGTGATCTCAATTTGTCTAGTTTTTTAAACATATATAGACATATAATAAACCTCATTAAGCCAGATTCCACTAATCAGAAATTTATGGCATAAAGTAGGGTAAGATTTACCTTTTTACTAACAATAAAGAAAGATGGCTCAAGGAAATAGATGATACAAACAAGATTGGGGGGGATGTTTAATTCAAGAAAACCAACAGCTATTTGGCAATGACTAGACACAGCCTCAGAATTTCCAAATGCTTCTTTTTTTCTTATTAGTCTGACTGTGTATGTTAGAGGGATCATAAATAAACTTTCACAGGAAAATTAATTCCTATACTTTAATTTTTTAACTGTTTCTTTTCAGCTTATATCATGATAACTCTGGAAGAGTTACCTTACTGATAAAAGATGTAAACAAGAAAGATGCTGGGTGGTACACTGTGTCTGCAGTAAATGAAGCTGGAGTAACCTCATGTAACACGAGATTAGATGTTACAGGTATGTCACATTGTTATCAAGTGTTATGTCAAGTGTTATAAAAAACTTAACCAGGAAGATTTAATAAGAAACACAAATCCCAGCACAGTATAAAATCTGAGAAATTTTCCCCATACATAATCAGTTTTGATTTTTTTTCTTTTCCTGTCTGATAATGAATATCTAGTGCAACCCTTTTGTTTACAACAGGATTTCTTAATTAACTTTTATTTGATCTATTTCAGCCCGTCCAAACCAAACTCTTCCAGCTCCTAAGCAGTTACGTGTTCGACCAACTTTCAGCAAATATTTAGCACTTAATGGGAAAGGTTTGAATGTGAAACAAGCTTTTAATCCTGAAGGAGAATTTCAGCGTCTGGCAGCTCAATCTGGACTCTATGAAAGTGAAGAACTTTAATAACTTTACCAACAATGGAAAACGCAACAACTACACTATTAGTAACACATTCAATTAAATTTTTGAAATAAATCCATAGCTGTATTAACAGATTATGGCTTTAATTAGGTAATATAACTAATATTATTTATCCTTTGACTCTTGCACATTCTATTTACTTCTCTGATTTATGAAGCCTACAGAAAATCTGGGTAATGAGTTTGTAATTGTAGATGACTATCTTAAAATGTGGGATTTTAACAATTAAATCATACACATTTAACAATTACAGGTTATGAGTTAATATCAACTTTTTAAACACATCAAACATATCTAATGCTTGTAATAAGATGTACCCGTACTGCTTTCTAAATACTGTTTTACTCATTTTCTCTTATAGGAATACTAACATGGTATAGATTATGAGTGCCCCATAGTTTTATGTCAAAAGAGAATAAAATTTCAAATATTTAAAACAGACTGTCTCCTCTTCACAAAAGTCTAGATCTTTAAGATAAAACTTCTGGTTTTTATATAGTAAACAACACTCAGCAAAACCTATGAATGACAAGTTCCAAAAGAGCAACAATATTATAGTCTAGAACACTGTGTCTTCTTGGTGAAGCTCACTTACAGCTCAGTCAATCCCTCCTGAAACTGAGCTAGACTTTCCACAGTTTGCACATTAAAGGCGACCACAGTGACTTGAATCATGAGGAAATCTCTCCTGAAATTGTGATTTTGTTTTAACCAAACAGGTCTCTAATTCTTCAAGATCTTTGAGTCTGTTGAGCTCAATGGAGTAAGAATAGTCTGTAGAGTCATCTGTTTAATTCTTATATTTAACGTAAATTTGTATTCCTATATTTTTTCCTCCTACATTTTAAGTTTAGACAACCTATCACATTAGAAAGCACAATTTTGTGAACATCTGAGAGTCCAAGTACAGAAAAGGGCAAGCTCTTTTATTAAACTATTAAGCTAGGACAGTAGCCCTTTCTTTTTCTCAGGCCTCTGCCAGCCTTTTGCTAGGCCTCTCCTGTTCCTTTTATCTTTGGTAAGTCTTTGACCCTCGCTGCTGTGTGGCCTAGTTTTTGCTTTTTATCTGTACATAAAACAGCATTTATCAACATGACTCTACATCTCTTTCAGGGAAATAACAAAAGTGGCTTTTTTACTTTCAAAACAGCTTGATGGTTTTCTTCGCTGACTGCCCAGGGGCCTTTGGACTGAATTCTGTTTTATTTTCCTTTTTACCAACATGAGAATCCCTCCTGTCTCAAATCCTGGTGGGCTTTGGGATACCTTAATTTACAACCAAATTTGTTTGGCCTTGTCTATAGCTGGTTTACAAACCTTCTTCTCATCTTTGTAAAGCTTCCGGGCCAGCTGAGAGTCTGGGTTCCCAAGTACTACTGTTTTGGCCTACCCTTTTACGTAATCACTCCAGAACTGGATTTTTTTGTTTTTTTAAATCTATTTTAACGTTCTCTTTAGTCATATTGGGTGGAAAAGGGGGTAGTAGCTATTTCTAGCAACAGCTCTCCGTTACCAACAAGCAGTTTCGCAAGTTGAAGCGGCAGCGTTGGGTCCTGCGGAGGCATTCGGGCTTTGGCGTCCAGCAGACCTTGCCCCAACGGGCCGTGGACTTTGATAAATTATTTACCCTCTCAGTGCCTCGGTTTCTTCAGATCTAAAATGAGGACAAAACACCTAGCTTTCAGGAAGGAGGTGTGAAGACTAAACAAGCCAATAAATGTTAAAGGTATTCAAGAACAAGTAGCCCGTTAAAATTAACTACTACGATTTTTATGATTAACCCCAGGCCCAAAGCCAGGTTCGCCCTAGAAGTCGGCGCTCCACCAGGGACAAACGCCGCCATCCCCCGCCTGGCCTCAAGCGAAGCCCTTGCAGGGCATCCTCGGCGCGCCCTCGCGCTTGCAGCTTGCAGAGCTGGAGGGCTCGCTCGGGGGCCGGCGCTAGGCGGCGCGCGGAGCAAAGCTATCGCGCAGGCGCGGAAGACCTGGTGAGGTCGAACGGGCGGTATCTTCCAGGTCGGCCATGGCTGAGGCTTCCCGGTGGCACCGAGGCGGTGAGGGGTGCTTGTCGGGAGTGGGTGGGGCAGGGCAGATTTGGCAATTCCACATACGGTAGAAGAAACTCCGTAGCCCCGTATCTATTCATGTGAGAGAGAGGACCTCCAGCACGCTTAGCCCTCACAGCCTCCTCTTGAGAAGCGGAGAGGGACGGTGGTCCCATTTCACAGACAGGAAAACTGAAGCGCCACGGGGACGTGGCACTCGCCCCTTGCCCGAGGCTTGAGCTGGGGCTGTCACTTGCTGTAGAATGAGTGTCGCTAGGGCGGTGTCCGAAGTGCTTTGTTGATTTAGGGAGTCGTGTCCTTGAGGGAACCCCAGGCCAAGTTCTACCGTCACCCCCACCCCCACCCCCACCCCCTGCTGAAGCCAGCCATCCCAAGAAGCAGTGTTGACTGGTAGAGAAAATGATTAGGGACAGATAAGGGGTTTTTGTTTGTTTTGTATTTTGCTTTTCCATTTTAATACAGACCCAGTGAGGAAACATCCATGTGATAAAAGTCATTGGTATACAGTAATAAAATGACTGCCTGCTTACCCCATGGGAACATGTTAGTAATTATTCCTCCTTCATCAAATGAGAATAAAAAAATAACCAGAAGCCTTTGGACCTTTCCTTCGCACAGTGTAACAGCTAACTGGCTGTGTCTTTCTATCGATATTTATGTACGTTATAAATTACATATTGTAAAGGAAAATTTTGTTTTATATCTCACAGGGACTCCAAAACATCCTCTGCATTACAGGAAGGAAGTAGAAATTAGAACTACCCTTCAGGAGTTGTTACTCTACTTTATTTTTTTAATAAACCTATGTATATGTAAGTACACAGATGGAGATGATGACACTGTTTGAACTAAGAGGTTATGTGGACATGAAAAATAAAACGTGGACTTTATAAACTGTAGGCTTTCAGACTTTACTAAAATTTCTCAAAAAATAGTGAAACATTTTAGACATTTATCTTAAATTCGTTTAGTTTGAGGCAGTTCTTAGTGGGCAATTAGTAGTGTTCAGTTCTTAATGGGCAAAACTTTAGGTCATGGATATAATGAGAAGCTTTCATGTCAACATTGATTGAACTAATTATTCCTTCGGTTGGCAGTTCTATCTTGAATATAATTATTCCCTTGAGTTGGCAATTCTAACTTGATTTCTTTTAGATCCATATAGATACATTAACTTACTTTCATAGGTCAGAGTACAAATAAGGCCAAAGAAGTTAGTCTTGCTGTCTGCTTTGTTCTTTTCCCTGGCCTGTTGCACAGTTAATAGCAAAATATACTAGTGCTGAGTCACGAAAGGTATGGATCAATGCAAATCTTTAAGGAGGACCAGGAAAGCATGTCAGCCTGCATTCCTCCTATTTGTGGATCAATAGCACTGACTTAATCAGTATTAAAGAGCGTTTTGTCTTTAGGGCACCCAACATACAGTAGATGTAAGCTCACTGGCGGGACTTATCTCATGTTGGTATGGCCTACATACCGGCAATTTTTATATCAGTTAACTAATTAATTGGTATTGTAGGGGTGAGTTTGAGTCGGATCTTGATTAAAAAGACAACTATGGCCAATCTTATAGATTAAGATATCTTGGACTGGTTTTTAAATGCTTACTACAGAATATTTGGGGAATGGAAAAATATAAAAAGATCATTCATAATCCCATTATTCAGGGATTAAAAAAAACCTTTTTATAATTAGGAAGAACTGAAAACAGCTTAAATCTCCGTCAACAGAAGATTTAACTTTTTGGTATACACAGTGAAATAATATGCAACATTAAAGAATGGCATAGGCTCATGTGTGCCATGGACTGATGCTGAAGATAAATGGTTTCTAAAGACTAAAGGGCTTCTAGCAAAAAGATAAAGACATATTTAATCTACATTCTGCTCTAATAGCCACTCACGCACCCCTAGAAAAAGAGAGTGAGAAAGAATGCTAGTTAATATTTTAAAAATTCTTGCCATATGCCAAAACATAGTTTTAAATGTTCCACATGCATTACCTCACTTACTTTTTATAACAAAGCTATGAGGTAGGAGATATTATCCCTATGATGGGACTCAAACTGTTATCTGTTTGAATTCAAAGTCTATAGCCGTAACTACTCACCATATTATATTGCCTACTCTCAATATGGAGAAAAAACGAACTTGCAGAATAGTATGTATAATGTGATCTCATTTTTGTAAAAATAAAGTTATTTTCTTTATGAATGTGTATGCATATAGAAAAATCGGAAGAATATATGCCAAACCTAACTCTAGCAGTAGGATTACAGGAAACTTCTTCCTGTTCTGTATATTTCTATTTTGGGTGTTTTTTTTTTATTATTAGTTTTATAATTAGACAAAAAAATTTGAATTTTCAAAACAAAATTGGGAACAAATTTTAAGTACATTTTTAATCCTAATAAACTGAGTTTTTAAGCATAAATTTTTAAACAAAAAATTCTTCTCCTTAGTGACTTTTGGGATGGTAAACCCACATATGTATTACTTAAACAAAGTTATGTCATCTCTATTTTTGGACACTTCTGTGCCTGGTGATGAGAGAACCAACTTTAAGTCTATTCGCAGCATAACTGATTTTTGGAAGGTAAGGTATCATGTAACTGTGGATGAAGTGTCTTTAGGTATTGCATAAACAGACCCTTGGCACACATATAGGCACTCAATACATATTTGTTGAAGGAATGAGTAAAAATGAATATCATTTCTTTAAACTATTAGAATCAACCAACCAGTAAGTGTTTATTGAGACTCTTTATTCTCAATGTGATAGAGTTCTTATAACTTAAAAAAAAATGATATTTTTTAACATAATCATTGCATTTGGAAAATAGAAGACTTGCTTCTAATGTGGGAGTTAGGATCCAAGGTAAGTCTATAATTGTGTATAGTGAAAATTCCTCTTAAAAAGTCCTTAAATTGCCCATAAAGTAAAATATATGTGATTTTGGTATACAATCCTGTATTGTCTGTATGTATGTTACAATAATGTACAGTATATAATAAAGAGTACATATACAAAATATAATTTTACAGTGTTTTTAATTACTAAGAGAATCATTCCTTCAGCATTGGAACAGATTGTTTTTTCCATTACACTTAGCAAGATGCTCACATTATGAGGAAAGAACAATTAACGGAATAGCAGTTTCAGGTATTCCATGTCACAAACATCGGGGCATACAGGGAAGAGGCCTTTCGAGAGGTGATGATGATTCAGTTGAGTTTTAAAGGATGACTAATGGAGGAGCATTCTAGGAAGAATAAACAATATGTGCTATAAGTAATTCTACATATGGAGCTATGTTTGGCATTATAGGCATATAGAAGATGAGGTGGAAAAGGCCAAACTATGAATTGGACAGAGGTTAAGTCATGAATGCCACGCTAGGACTTTGAAACTTATCCAGGAGACAAAGTCATTTCCTGAGAGTGAGAGGGGAAGTGTAAGATGAGGGCAAATAGAAGTCTTTGGTTTAGGCCAGATGAAATGTGAAAGAATGATAGGAAATTTTCCCTGAAACAAGAAGTGGAATTCACCCTGCTTCTTTTTTTTTGTACTGTCTTGAGGTACGTACAGGGCCAATGGCAAAGAAGACAAAGGCAGGAAAGAAAAAAATGAACCCTGGGTTTGGGATCTCTTAGGAGCAGATAGGGGCAGAACCAGAAGTAGCAGTCACCACCGCCAGAGTTGCTGGGAAAGAGGGACACAGACAACTTTGAGGTGAAGTGCTGATCTGTGGCATGACCAGTTCTAATACTCAAGTATTGGGGGACAATTTTCAGTATACCCCTCATAAGAAGAAGCAGCATTGTGGAATTAAATGAGTTAATACTTGTAAAGTGCTTAGAGCAGTCCCTAGTGCATAGTAAGTGCTTAGTAAAGGTTAACCATCTTCATTATCATCAACATCATCATCATAACCATTAATATTAATGTTGACTTGGTCAGTAATTTTTCATACTCATCCTGAAAATCACTCATTTTTATATTATGGGTAACACAATGACTGTAGATTCTGTTATACAGTTGACATGAAAATATTTTTCCCATAACATTTATCTTTCTATATGAAGTTTATGGAAGGACCCCTTTTGGAAGGTCTGTACTGGGACTCATGGTACAATAACCAGAAGTTGTATAATTTAAAGAACAGCAATCGCATCTACTATGAGAACATACTTTTAGGAGTCCCCCAAGTCCGTCAACTAAAAGTCCGCAACAACACGTGCAAGATTTATTCATCCTTTCAGTCTTTGATGAGTGAATGTTATGACAAATACACTTCTGCAAATGAAGACCTGTCTGAGTTTGGCCTTAAAGATGATACTGAGTAAGTAGTATAAAATTATACATAACTTTTTCTAGCAGCTTAAACAATTGTGAAAATATGTGTATTTTCCAAATAATACCAACAGGCATCTGGAAGGTAAGAAGACTGTTTAAATAATAGTATCAAACTAAGACTCAGAGATGCAGTGTTTAGAAAAGGAAGAGTGAACCTGTTATTTTTTTGTTTAACAAAGGATGTAAAGTGTTTTCTGATTGTGGTATATGAAGTGCTAAGTCATATTGGACACAAGGCAAAGTGTCCATTTTTGCTTTTATAGTACTCAAATCAGTTTTTCTGGCTCTGGCCAGACTCCCTCAAACACATCCCAAATGTTTTCTTGGGATCCCTAGGGAGTGTCTTCAGTGTGCCCTGCCACTTTCTTCCTTTCTCACTCTGGCTTAGTTCAGTGATTCGGAAGATTCTATTGTTGCCAATACGGAAAAGGGGCAGTTATGCTCCATAGGCACTGCATCTGATGATGCCTGCCAAAGATATTACGGCCGTTGTTCTCCAAAGTGCCTGAGGCTAATGCTGGTGTAGAGTCATGTCTATACTTTATATTGAAAATGTGAAAGCTCAAAGCCACTGACACTATCTCCCCTTAACACAGAAGCTGCTTTTAGGGTCCTATGAAAATCATAGGGGTCAGAGAGTAAACCTTTCTTAAAACTTAATATTTTCAAAGTGATACAAATATTTATAAAAGTCCACCCTTTCCTACTCATAATTCCCACTCCAGAAAGTGCCACTTTTAGCTCTTTTAGTTGTTTCTTCCAGTATATACTTTCCATTTCTAAATAACATGCTTATACTGCTATTACTTGATTTTACAGTTTTATATATCTATTGTCTCTATCATGGAAGGTGTCTGTCATGTATCCTTCTTCTACCACTCCCTCTACACACACTCTTCTTGTTCCTCTTAGCCTGTAGTTATACCATAATTCTTGTTAATCATTAGTCAATGTTTATATTATAAATAAGAACAATGATTGCATTTCCTTTCATAAACAACCTCCCTTGTATCCCAGGATTAATCATTGCTTTGTGGTTTTTGTTAACTTATTTTTTCTTTGTATGAGTTTTTGGGTGTTCTTAAGGGCAACAAAATGCTTGTATAATTCTTATAAATCTAATAAATTCATAAGTATGGTGACATTATCTTAAATACTACAGTACAGTCATGTGCTGCATAACATTTTGGTCAACAATGCACCACATATACAGTGGGTGGTCTCCTTAGATTATTATGGAACTGAAAATTTTCTACTGTCTAATGATGTCATAGCCATCATAGTGTAACACATTACTCACATGTTTGGTGATGCTGGTGTAAACAAACCTGTGCTGCCAGTTGTAGAAAACCATAGCACATACAATTATGTACAGTACATAATACTTGATAATAAATGACTGTGTTACTGATTTATGTATTTACTATACTATACTTTTTATCATTATTTTAGAGTGTACTCTTTCTACTTATAAAAACAGTTTACTGTAAAACAATATGTCCTGTTATGCCAGCAGCAGCCTCATACTTCTCATGTTTACCGTCTCTCTTGATTGCATCATTTTCTCTTGTGCTTGATTTAATCTCATGTTGTTTTGTTCATCATGGCCCCTAAACATACAAAATCCACTGCTAATGTTGCCAGTAAGAGACCGTGTTAAGTGATTGACCTGGAAATGAAATTAAAAGTGATTAAGGGGGTCGGCCTAGTGCCGTAGTGGTTAATTTGTGCGTGTTCCACTTTGGTGGCACAGGTTCACGGGTTCAGATCCTGGGCGCAGAGCTACACCACTCATCAAGCCATGCTGTGGCAGCAACCCATATACAAAATAGAGGAATATTGGCACAGATGTTAGGTCAGGGCTAATCTTCCTCAAGCAAAAAGAGGAAGATTGGCAACAACAAGATGTTAGCTCAGGGCCAATATTCCTCACTGGAAAAAAAAAGTGATTAAGGACTACAAACGTGGAAAATAGTGATGGTTATTGCTCACCAATCAGGCATGTCCCATTCCACCATAGCTATGATCTTGAAGAACAAGAACAAAGTGACAGAAGCTATTAAAGGATCTGCTTCATTGAAGGCAATGAGACTAACAAAAATTCGAGAAGGGCCTATATCAGACATCGAGAAACTTCTAATGATCTGGATTGAAGACAAGACACAGAAGCCAACCTCTCTCAGCACCATGATGATCACAGCCAAAGCAAAAAGCTTGTTTGTGATGTTGAAAGAAAAGGCTGGACCCAGCCACGATCTTGAATTTACTGCTAGCTCTGGGTGGTTTAAATATTCAAGAATTGTTATTCATTACATAATGTGAAAGTGAGTGGTGAGCCTGTAAGTGCTGATGTAAAGGCAGCTGAAGAATTTTTGGAAACTCTAGATAAGCTGATTGTGGAGGAAAATTATTTGCCAGAGCAAATATTTAATATGGATGAAAACTCCCTATTCTGGAAACGGTTGCCTGAGAGGACTTTCATCCATAAGGAGGCCAAGTCAATGCCAGGTTTCAAGGCTTTTAAGGAAAGGATAATAGTCTTGCTTGGGGGCAGTGTTGCAGGCTACAAATTGAAACTCTTTGTGATCCAGCACGGTGAGAAACCCAGGGCCTTCAAGCATATCAGTAAGCATATACTGCCGTTGTACTACAGAAGCAATAAGATGTCATGGATGACCCACCTCCTCTTCCAAGATGCTCTCCTGAATTGCTATGCCAGCGAAATGGAGAAGTACTGTTTGGAAAATAACATACCTTTCAAGATTTTGCATATTGTTGATAAAGCTCCTGGACATCCTCTTTTATTGGTGATCTTCATCCCAATATCAAAGTGGTGTTTCTCCCTCTAAACACCACCTCTTTGATCCAACCAATGGATCAAGGAGTCATAGAAGCTTTTAAGGCCTACTACCTGAGGAGGACCTTTGTCCAGGCTATTGCTGCAACTGAGAAAGACACTGATGCAATTCTGGAAGGATTACAACATCTATGACTACATCAAGAACTTTGCTTGGGCTTGGAGTGATGACACCAAGGAGTGTATGAGTGGCATCTGGAAGAAGACACTCAAGAGGTTCTTCCATGACTTCAAAGGGTTTACCAAGGATGAGGAGGTTGCAAAAATTAACAAGGCTTTGGTTGAGATAGCAAACAACTTTAACCTGGGTGTGGGTGAGAATAGCATTGAGGAGCTCCTAGAGGTGGTTCCTGAGGAATTAACTAATAAGGAGTTGTTGGAACTGGAACAGGAACACAGAGCTGAAGAAGGGGCAAGAGAAAAGGAAACTGCAGGAGAAGAAAAAGATGAAGAACCCATAAGAAAATTCACAGTGAGGGGTTTAGCAGAAGCTTTTTCAGACCTCAACAAGCTCCTTAAAAAGTTTGAAAACATGGACCCCAACACCAAAAACTTTTCTTTAATAGAGAGGAATGTTCATGTTGCATTACCTGCTTACAAGCAAATCTATGATGAAAAAAAGAAACAAACCAAGCAAACCACCATGGACATATTTCTGAAAAGAGTGACTCCACCTCAAGATCCTCAGGCAGGTGCTTCAGGGGGTGTTCTAGAAGAAGGCATTGTTGTCATAGGAGATGGCAGTTCCATGCATGTTATTGCCCCTGTGAAGACTTTCCAGTGGGACAAGATGTGGATGTGGAAGACAGTGATATTAATGATCTTGCCCCTGTGTAGGCCTAGACTAATGTGTGTGTTTGTGTCTTAGTTTTTAACAAAAAAGTTTAAAAAGTAAAAAAAAAAAAATTTCAAAAATAGAAAAAAGCTTATAGAATAAGGATATAAAGAAAGACAATGTTTTTGTACAATGTGTTTGTGTTTTAAGGTGTTATTACTGAAGAGTCAAAAAGTTTTGAAAAACTAAAGTTTACAAAGTAAAAAGTTACAGAGCTGAGGTTAATTTATTGTTGAGGAAAGAAAAAATTTTTAAATAAATTTAGTGTAGCCTAAGTGTACAGTGTGTATAAAGTCTACAGTGGTGTACAGTGATGTCCTAGGCCTTCACATTCACTCACCACTCACTCACTGACTCACCCAGGACAACTTCCAGTCCTGCAAGCTCCATTCATGGTAAGTGCTCTATACAGGTATATCATTTTTTATCTTTTATACCATATTTTTAGTGTACCTTTTCTATGTTTAGATATGTTTACATACACAAATACCATTGTGTTACAATAGCCTAAAGTATTCAGTACAATAACGTGCTGTACAGGTTTGTAGCCTAAGAGCAGTAGGCTATACCATATAGCCCAGGTGTGTAGTAGGCTATCTACCATCTAGGTTTGTGTGAGTACACTCTATGGTGTTCACATAATGACAAAATCGCCTAACAACGCATTTCTCACAGTGTATCCCCGTCATTAAGTGATGCATGACTGTACTGTACACTATTTCCCTTTCAGTGAAAAATTACAAGATAAATCAATTATTTAATTACACATTTTAAGTTGGAATCTCGAGACTAATCTGTTAGGTATTCTGATATTCCAAATTCTCATAACAACTACAAATAATTTAAATACCAAAATTAACACTAGGGATTTGGAATTGTAATACCTTTGTTCCCTAACAACCAATTTGTGCTTGTTTGTCCATCTAAAATGTAACATTCATTAATTAAAAACATTATAAAAAATTGGAAGTAGGAGAGGGTTGGTGTAACAAATGTTCTTGTTTCGGTTTCATAATCATGCAGAAAAAACTCAAAAATACATCTAGGGAATTTTCATTAAATATAAGTATTTTTTCTTATGGTGTCACTGTTTTTCCCCTCTGCTGAAAACAAATAGTATTATCAATAGAAAAACAAGTTTAAGAGTGAGTACATCTTTGGATAATTGTTCAGATCTGTTTTGGGGAGAGTGAATAGGGACTGAAATGAGAAATCAAGGCTTTATTTTTTGATATCCCATGAGTTAAGAGTAGAATGGAAACAAAATTTAGTTATACACATTTTACTTTGATTTATGTACTTTCATTAAAATAAGTTACCTATATAACCATATAGACATTGTATCGAAGGTTTTATTTATTGGGCATTTATAAATGGTATGTGACCTTTAGAAGACAGACTGTGAACACTTTTTTTCCCGTGTTGAGACAGATATTTCTGAATCAAAACCCTTGATATTCAAAGACTAAATATCTCATAATACACAGAGACAGCATGTTAAAGGAAAAAAATCAGTCCTTATTTTCTAGATTTTAAGTTCCCTGAGGCAACAGATGGAGTTTTAAAAATTGTTTCTCATAGCATCTAGTCCAGTGTGTTGCCCACAATAAAAACTAAAAAAATGAAAACATTTTAAATCTTAATCCTTAACACATTGTCTTGCTTCAAAATTACTATAATACTTACGAACTTAGTACTACTTTTTTTTTTACTACTACTTTTGAACCAAAAATTAGCTTAAATTCTTAGAATACTTCTCAGTCATGCTTTCTCATATCTCCGTTATTCTTTTTATATCTAACAGATGGAAGTACTCTACTCCTAGTGTCAACTCCCCTTGGCATTGGGGATTTGTTGGTGTTTACCGAAATGGGGGCTATATTTTCACTTTATCAAAATCAAAGTCTGAAATCAAAGACAAGTTCGTTAACCTGCGACTGAACAGCTGGATCACAAGAGGGACTAGAGTTATTTTTATTGATTTTTCATTATACAATGCTAATGTAAATCTGTTTTGCATCATAAGGTGAGTGACTCAAATCCTCTTTATTAGTATATGGAATTTAAAAAGCATTCAGAGCCCTCATTAGGGTTTCCAATTTGTGTATATTTGTATGGAGATTAAATTATAAGCTTCAAAATAAATATAATGTAGTTCTGCCAATAATGAAAAAGAAAGTAAAGCAACATCATATTAATTGTTTCATTATTTCAGAATATATTCAAGAATAATATGTTAGTTTTATGTTACTTAAGGATATATTGTCTTATTTCTTGTCATTCTGCAGACCTAACATTTAGTTTTGATGATTTATTCCTCTTAATCAGATCATTCAAATCTGTTGATTTCCTTTCAGAATGAGCTTCTTCAAAGTTATTAATTTTAGTCTCAAGAATGAACAATTTAAATTTCAAACAAATATAACAGTAGCCAACATCCTAGAAATGATTAGAGCCTGCAGTGATTTGCAAAAATCGCCCCAATTCTTTACATCTTTGCCGTGTATACTTGTAGTACCCTGCCACCCAGGGCAAGGTGCACTGCCCCAGCCCTTGTGCCCATGGCTCAACCATGTGACTTGCTGTGGTCAATGGAATGTTAGCAGAATGATACAAGCAGAAGCTTGAAATGAGTTTGGACATTAAAACTTGCTCTCTTGCACTCTGCCATTGCATAAGAAGGACATGCCTGGGCTAACTTGTTGGACCCAGGAGGAGGATGAGAAACCTTCTCTCATGGGTTGGAGGAGGAGAGAGAACCAACCAAAGAGAAAAAATTCTTTCCATTAGTCCGATTACCTTAGGTTGTGTGCCTAACCTGGACCATATAATTGGCGTAGGCCTGGGTTCTAGAATCAAATACTGCAAAGGAAATAGGATTGCCATGATTAGATCTGTCTGGGGATTGAATCAGCTTCCTCTAGTGATCTGGGAATGGGTGGATGCCTGATACAATCAGGGTTCTGTTAGAAGGAGGACCAGGATAATGACCTCTAGACAGGCAAACAATAGTGTCCCCCACAATCTCAGTGAGCCACTTTCCTCTCGTGAGTCTTACAGTTTTACTCTGAATAGAATGTGGAATTGGTGTTTACTCTGATTAGGGGACTCTGCCCTGGTGCAACAGTGACAGTGAAACACAACCATGGCCTTTAAAATTTGTGAAACAATAAAACAAATGAATTACCTTAAGCAGCCAATGGACATTATACCTTTTATTTTATAGTTCTTTCTTTTCTTTCAGGGAATCAGAGCTTTTAACCAACATTAGTCACTCTTCCCAATAGTCTTGATCAGGATAAAGTGAAGAATGCAAATCATTTCTATGTCCTAAATAAGAGTAGAAATGTTGGGGTAACTGGCTTAAAGTCATATGAAGAACACCTTGTTATTCTAGATTAAGTCCGGATTTTTTGTTTCTACGTTTTATACTTATTCTATGTTACCTTTTAAAGTGTTATTTTTTAGAAACTTCAGCAGATTTTGAAACTTTTAACTAGTTGTATATCTAATCAGTAGTTGTATGGAAGCATACTGCTTACGCTAAGACCTTATCCTGGTGGTCTAATGGTTAAGATTCGGCGCTCTCACTGCTGCAGCCTGGTTAGTTTCCCCAGTCAGGGAACCACATCACCCATCTGTTGGTTGTCATACTGTGGTGGCTGCTGTTGCTGTGATGCTGAAAGCTATGCCACCAGCATTCAAATACCAGCAGGGTCACCCATGGTGGACAGGTTTCAGCTGAGCTTCCAGACTAGACAGACTAGGAAGAAGGACCTGGCCACCCACTTCTAAAAACATGGCCATGATTAACCCTATGAATAGCACTGGTGCATTTTCTGATAAAGCAACGTAAGGTGAGAAGATGGTGTAAAAATACCGAGCGAGGTTCTGCTCTGCTGTACACAGGGTCTCTAGGAGTCAGAATCAACTCCACGGCACTAACAACAAAAGAAGTTATCCACTTATTTTCCTTTTTGTACGCTTTATCTGGCAAACTAAACTGTATGCTATTCTTTTTCTCTCTTTTTGTTTATTAGTCTACACTTCAAATCAAAATATTGAGTTTCTTTCACTTCACTCACTTCTCCAGTATTGTGAACATACATGTGCAAGGTGTAACAAACAGTTCTGTTTCTATTTGTTAACTGGTGGTTTTGTTTTTGTTTTTTTGGCAGTACCTTATTCCAGTACCAATAAGATTTGGTAATATCTTTAGGTAGGAATAATTACATTGTGACATTGTGCTAGAGATGCTGGTTCCTTAAATTATTACCAATTCTTTTTTTTTATTGAGGTCACATTGGTTTATAACATTATATAAACTTCAGGTGTACATCATTATATTTCGACTTCTGTATAGACTGCATCGTGTTCACTACCAAAAGTCTAGTTGCCGTCACCATGCACATGTGCCCCTTTACCTCTTTCGTCCTCCTCCCACCCCCCTCCCTCTGGTAACCACCAATCGGTCCTCTGTATCTATGTGTTTGTTTCTTTACCTTCTACATATGAGTGAAGTCACACAGTAATTGTCTTTCTCTGTCTTATTTCACTTAGCATAATACCCTCAAGGTCCATCCACATAGTTGCAAATGGCAGGATTTTGTCTTTTTTTATGGCTGTATCCCATTGTGTGTGTGTGTATATATATATATATATATATATATATATATATATACCACATCATCTTTATCCATTCATCTGTTTGATGATCACTTAGATTGCTTCCAAGTCTTGGCTATTGTAAATAATGCTGCAGTGAACATAGGGGTACGTATATCTTTTAGAATTAGTGTTTTTCTGTTCTTTGGATAAATACCCAGAAGTGGAATAGCTGGATCATATGGTAGTTCTATTCTTAATTTTTTGAGGAATCTCCATACTGTTTTCCATAGTGGCTGCACCAATTTACATTCCCACCAGCAGTGTACAAGGGTTCCTTTTTCTCCACATCCTCTCCAAAACTTGTTATTTCTTGTCCTTTTAATAATAGCCATTCTGACGGGTGTGAGGTGATATCTTATTCTAGTTTTGATTTGCATTTCCCTAATAATTAGTGATGTTGAACATCTCTTCATGTGCCTCTTGGCCATCTGTATATTTTCTTTGGAAAAATCTCCATTCAGATCCTCTGCCCATTTTTTGATTGGGTTGTTTGGGTTTTTTTGTTGTTGTTCAGTTGTATGAGTAAATTACTGCCAATTCTTAATTAACTGAAATTGTGGAGAACAGTAGAAATACAGTGAACAACCTCAAAATCTTTTTATATTCAGTGTTGGAATTAACTTTTATATTTCTATTTGTGTATAGATCTTTGTATCCAACATCCAGTGCCTAAAGTAAAAAGAAAACATTTGCTTTAGTAGAATGTGCGACTTGACATTTAGAAGCAAGAAGTATCTCTAATAAGCTAAAGAGGGAGAGTGTATTTCCCCTCTCTGAAATGTTCAAGAATTATATATTTTGGAGGGAGTCCTGACTAATAACAGTAACTAACAGCACTGCATTTTTTGAACATCATCTCATTCTCCTGTGGAGATAAATTAGTATTCCCAGTTATGAACGAGCAATCTAAACACAGAATAGAACAAATGCCTGGCTAAAATCACATCTTACTTTCTGATTTGCATTTGTCTTTGACCACTGTGAATATTCAGAGTACCAAAAAAAAGTGAAGAAGCCATCAAAAAAGAAGTAAATCCACTACAAATTTTCAAAATTGAACCCATGACCCCGAGAAAACATATTTTGTACAAAATAACAAAATACATATTTTGTACAAAATTACAGGTTATCGTTCAAGTACACATCATAACTGAATAGAAATTTCATATTGAGTTAGGAACTGAAATATAAATACTTGAAATGCATAGTTACTTTCACAAACCTTATTTTACAGACTGGTGGCAGAATTCCCTGCAACTGGAGGAATACTTACTTCATGGCAGTTTTACTCTGTGAAGCTCCTCAGATATGTTAGCTACTATGATTATTTTATTGCTTCCTGTGAAATCATATTTTGTATTTTTCTTATTGTCTTCACAATACAAGAAATCAAAAATATGAAAGAATTTAAGTGGGCCTATTTCAAAAGTATTTGGAACTGGCTAGAATTGCTACTTTTGGTGGTAAGTATATATTCACACGTATGGTTAAATGAAATCACATCTGAACCCACCAGTGAGGGTGGTGTGACAGCAGAATTTTCTATTCATCTGAGACCAGCAGAATTTTCTATTCATATGGGACTTATTTTAAAAGCTGAAAGTATGAATCATAAAATGAACTGTCTTAGTAAATACTAATGGTGTTCCTCCAAAAGGGAAAAGTCTTTTTTTTTTTTTTTCTGATTTGGTCCTTGGGAGGACCAGCATAAACCTGGAGGAATAGGAGATCCCGTAGGTATTATGATTTAATGTACACAGTAGGTCTCCCTACTCCCACTCAAAAATGTATTCCTTACAGGGCCTCGTGTTAAAACTCATGGATCTTTTTGGGCAAGGTCCTTTAAAATGTAGTCTTCTGTGTTGCCTAAATCTGCTTTCCTTCTCACTCTGAATTTTGAAAGGATAGGCAAAAGACAAGCCTAAGCAGGATACTGAAGGAGGAGGAGGTTTGAACAGCCAGAGGGTAGCTTGTGGGCACAGAAGACACCAGACCTGGGGAGATAATCCCTGAAAGAAACTCCAAAGACTGCCAGTTCTGGTCACTGGGACATACTAAATTAAACATAGAGATGTAGGCAGGGCAGGACAAATGGTAAGAGCTTGGTTTTAGGAACAATGAACAAACATTTCTGGCTTATACAATCTGATCTTTCACCTTTATTGGCCCGTAGTTATAGCCAATCCAGTATATAAGCCTTCTTTCCCAAAACCCAGATTGAAAGTTTCTCAGAGTCAGAAAGTGTGCCATCTACCTCTCTGGTATCCCAAGTAAGGTTTAACAGTGCATTAAGTGTTTAACTATTGAGTATTTCAGGCAAGAGAAATCAAAGGAAAATTTTCATGACAGTTACAAAGCTCTGATACTTAAGATAACCTGCTTCTGAAATTCTCTTCTAAAAGAGTTGTTAAAGGGCTCTAAAAGGGTTTATTTTTTTGGAACTGTAAAAAATTTTTTCTTATAGTGTTACATCGTGGAAAATATTAAACTTTTAAAGTATGTAGTTACATGGAGCAGAAACTCTTACAGCCTAGTCAGAATTATATAATCATTTTATACATTTGTACTTTATGACTCAAAGAAACAAACAGGCAGATAGGTTAGGATGACCAGGTGATCAATATTTTTCTGCTTTTATGATAATTATGCTTCCTTAAACTTCTATAAGTTGAGGCTTCCTTCCATTTATGTAAAAGCCTATGCCTTATCTCTCCCTCCCTTTTTGTTAACTTTTGATGAACTTTTTCATGTATTTCTTCATAGGCTGCAGGAGATTTAGATAAATAGTCTCTAATTTAACCTTTCTTATTTTCCCATTTAGTTGTGTTTTGTGGCTGTTTTCTTCAACTCATACTGTAATATACAAGTTTTCCTGTTACTTGGACAGCTGTTAAAAAATACCAAAAAATATTCAGATTTCTATTTTCTTGCATACTGGCACATTTATTACAACAATATACTTGCTATTACCATCTTCTTTGCATGGATAAAGGTATTTATATTTTATTATATTAGATACAACAGATTAGATATGATATTGTATTATATTACATAGCAAAATGGGAACTTAAACTACAAAGTCATGAACAAACAAAAGGATATTCTTAACTATAAAGTAATTTTAAAGGTAGTTTGTCCTTGTAACGATTGCTGGTGAATCCTCAAACACCCCTGACTATCATTAAGCACTTCCTTTAATTTAAAGCAGATTTCTTCTGAAATTAATTTAACTTACTCTAAGTAATTATAATCTTTAATATTCTCTTATTTCAATTAACTTTGTTCTCTTTCAGATATTCAAATTCATAAGCTTTAATAAGACGATGTCTCAGCTGTCATCAACCTTGTCCCGCTGTATCAAAGACATAGTAGGATTTGCCATCATGTTTTTTATAATATTCTTTGCTTACGCCCAGTTAGGATTTCTTGTTTTTGGATCACAAGTTGATGACTTTTCCACTTTTCACAATTCCATGTAAGCTCTTAGTATAAATGTGATTATATTTTCAAGTTTATAACAAAAAAAATCATGAAAAGGACTATGATAAGTAGTAACATAAGCTTTAATAAATTTAAACTTGGTTTGATATTTTCACCGATGGCTAAATATCTGTCACGCTCAAAGTACAGTTAGGCATTGAAAGATCCAAATGGATGGTAATATCCATTTTTTAAGTGTTACTAAGTCAAGTTATAAAAATAATTTTTCATTTTTCACTAGAAGTGAAAATTTTACCTAAGATAAAAGAATCTGGCTCCATGTCTCTGTACTATTTATTCTCTAGGCAAAAGAAATCTTTGAAGTGTTTTCCTTGGAGGGCTCCATCTTTAGAATCCTTTTAGTGATATTGACCTGATTGTCCTTTGCTGATCTGGCAAACCTGTGTTTTAAAAATATCTTTATACCCATAAAGCAATCAGCAGGCAACAAACTTACAGAACTGATTAGGTAGAATCCCTAGAAAAGTATTCAGACTTTTCTTTAAAAGTGAATAATTTTAATAAGTTTACTGCCCTTTTAGGGTAAGAAAAGCAAGTTCTGTCTGTATAATAAAACTATGACAGTCTAAAATATCAATTCTCAAAATGTGTTCTGTGGAATCTAGACCAAGATTGTCTGGAGAAAAATAGCTTCATATTTAAGTAAGTTTGGGAAATTTTGCATCACTCTTTTGGAAATTTGTGGTGCATAGTAATATATGGCTCTGAGAAAAACTACAATAACTTTCTTAACTTTGGTTAAGAATTCCCCAAACTTATTTGTCCGTGATCCTTTTACCCAATTTAGAGGAATCTCTGGTCTAAAGAAATGTCTTAGGTTGCCCTTTTTTCACCATCCACATCTAAATAATTGAAGTACCAATAGTATGAAATTTAATAACATTTTTCTGAAATAACCCTTTACTAGATCAATAGCGGAAAGAAGAGTGGACTAGGAACCAAGAGGACATAATTCTACTTTCCAATTCTGCCACTAGCTATTTAGCTTTTCTAGACCTTAATTTCTTTATCTGTAAATGAAGGGACTGGATAAATTACTCCCAAAGGTCCTTTCCAACTTCAAATGACCTATATTTTGAGAAATCTAATCAGCTTATCTTGAGTGAATAATGTTTTCAGTTCTAAGAACTTCTTGGCCCTTTCCTAGGACCTTAATTCAAGTGTTAGTTAATAATAACACTTAGTAGCATTGGACATTGAATATATTTATAGAACCTTGGAAGTTTGTCTAACCTTGAATAGTGGTAGGAAAGGAAGTAGAAGGCACAGAATAAACAGGTAGAAAACTTTGGAATGGATGAATGAGGGGACTTCTACTTTTGGTAACGACGTGCTAGGTTATTTGGATCAGCCACCTCTTCAGGACAATTTAAAAGCTGGATGAAATATAGAAAACACTGAAGAACTAACAAAAAAGTGAGTAATATGAGGGCCAAAATCAGAAGGCAAGAATCCAGAGAAGTAAGCCCAGCACCCAAAGCTACTTTCGCACTGAAGGCTTTTGTTTTTTAGGTTGATAAGGATTTTTTTTTTATTGTGTTAAAATACACATAACATAAAATTTACCATCTTAACTATTTCTAAGTGTACAGTTCAGTGATATTAAGTACATTCGTCTTGTGCAGCCATCACCACCATCCATCTCAGAACACTTTTGATCTTGCAAAACTGAAACTCTATACCCATTAAACAAGAACTCTCTATTTCCTCCCTTACCCCAGCCCCTGGCAACCACCATTCTACTTTTTGTCTCTATGATTTTGATTACTGTAGGTACCTAGTGGAATCATACAGTATTTGTCTTTTTGTGAGTGATTTATTCGACTTAGCATAATGTCTTCAAGATTCAACAATGTTGTAAAATATGTCAGAATTTCCTTCCTTTTGGAGGCTGAATTATATTCCATTGTGTGTGTGTATGTGTGTATATATATATATGTATATATATATATATACACACACACACTACATTTTGTTTATCTGCTCATCTGTCAATGGACACTTGGGTTGCTTCCACAGTTTAGCTATTGTGAATAATGCTGCTATGAGAATATGGGTGTACAAACATCTCTTTGAGACCCTGCTTTCAATTCTTTTGGGTATATACCTAGAGGTAAAATTACTGGATCATATGGTAATTCTATTTTGAATTTTTTGAGGAACTGCCGTACTGTTTTCCACAGTAGCTATACCATTTTACATTCCCAATAACAGTGCCCAAGGATTTCAATTTCTTCACATCCTTATCAACACTTGTTATTTTCTGGGCTTTTTTTTTTTGATAGTAGCCATCCTAATGGGTGTGAGGTGATATCTCATTGTGGTTTTGATTTGCATTTCACTAATCATTAGTGATATTGATTACTATCTTTTCATGTGCTTATGCCTATGTTGGTCTCCTTGATGGTATCCTACAGGTCCCTTAGGCTCTGTTCACTTTTCTTCAATCATTTTCTTTCTTTTCCTCAGACTTGATAATTTCAATTGTCCTATCTTCAAGTTCACTGATTTTTTCCTTCTGCCTGTTCAGATCTGCCTTTGAATCCCTCTAGTGAATTTTCATTTTAGTTATTGTACTTTTCAGCTCTAGAATTTCTTTTTAGGTGTTCTAGCTCTTTATTGATATTTCCATTTTGTTCATACATTGTTTTCTTGACTTTCTCCATGTCTTCTTTTAGTTCTTTGAGCATCTTTCAGACAATTGTTTTAAAGTCTTTGTCTAGTAGGTGTGCCATCTGGTCTTTCTTGGGGATAGTTTCTATTGGTTTATTTTTTTTTCCTTTGAATGGGCCATACTTCCCTGTTTCTTTGTATGTCTTATTTTTCTTGTGTGGAAAACTAGACATTTAAATGTAATAATGTGATAACTGTGGAAATCAGATTCTTTCCCTTCCCCAGGGTTTACTGTTTTTTGCTTTTGATTGTTGTAGACTGTCTCCATGCTGACGATCAGCCTGAGGTGTAAACTTAAGATCTTCTCAGGTATTTTCTAAGACTGTGCCTTCTCCTGGGCATGCATGGTGACTTTCTAATTTCCTCCATATATGCAGTTGCTTTTGAATGTCCTAGTCTTTAATGTCTGGCTCCTAAAAGGGCAATAAAAGAAAAATGAAGGAGGAGGGAAGGGGACTGACCCTTTAAGTTCCAAGGACATTGCTTCAGCCAGAGGGGGAGGGGCTTGCAACAAAGTGGGAGAACATACCCACCTGCCTCTGTGTTTGCACCTATGTGAGCAGAAGCAGCAGTCAGCAATCAGAACACAGACCCTTGATGTTTAGAGCACAGGGTCTTTATTGCCCACCCCTGACTCCCGCAAGCTGTGTGTGAGCTGCTCCAGGAATACCTGCATGGCTTCCTGCCACAGGGTGAGGGGTGGGAGATGGGTAGCTGCTTGCAAACTAAAAGCTGAAATTAACCAAAATTGTTGAGCCTTTCCCTGGAAGTTGCAAGCCTTCAACAGACTCCAGAGCTCCAAAATAGTTACATCAGACAGATTCTACCAGTGTGATTGTTGTCTAGGTGGGGAGAAAGATTCCTAGTGCTTCTTACGCTACTATCTTCCCCAAATCCTCCTCCCTGAAGGCATTTTTGCTCATCCAGAAGAAATAGTTAAGAAACTGTGTTCCTGGCCACCTCTCAGGGAGAAGGAAACAGAAGGCAAAGCCCAGGGCCTGCGTGTGTGTGTGTGTGTGTGGGTGTATGTGAGGGGTGAGGGGAGAGGAAAATTGTCTAATAACCTCTCCACACATCAAGCAGAGAGCCTGAAGTGCTACAGCCTCAAGTTAAACGTGAATCCCTCATTGTGACTTGAAGTGTGAGTGTCCAAGGAATCTCATGTCTTGAACTAGAATTAAGATGGTCCCAGGCTAGAATGCCTGCAGGCACCTGCAGACACAAACAAAAAACCTCTCTAGAGAAATATATCTTCATCCTAAACCTCAAATTACTTCTCCAAGTAATTTTTTCAAATATAATTTACTGCTCATAGTCAAAGATAACCTGGTACATAAAGGTAAAAAAACAAAAGCAAGAACCAGCAGATAGAGCAGACAATAGAAACAGACTCAAAGACTTCAGATATTGAAATACTTAAGCATTATTTACTATATTTATTTTTTTTTTAATTTTTTGTTTATTGCAGTAACATTGGTTTATAACATTGTAAAAATTTCAGGTGTACATCATTGTACTTCTATTTCTG